CACCTGATCCTAGCAATTGTACTCCGTATGGAGGGTTATCTGCTCACAGGAGAGCATATCGCTCCTCGACTCGAACTCATGCCTCTTTGCTCCCTCGACGCGGCCCTCTTATTTGAAGCCTTACACATGTCAGCAGAGCTTCCTGACGATTTCATGTCGAGATTTGTGTTCCCTGATGATGTTGTCGGCTGGCTCGAGTGTCACACGACAAATATTGTAAGCTATACCAATGGCCTCGTTTCTTGCATTGCTTCACGGCTTGGAGGAGAATACATTCAATTCAACCATCGCTCAGTACCGGAGTTTTTGTCAACAAGACTTAAGAAAAGCTGCGAATACCACGGTCACGATATCACAGATGACAGTACACTCATGGCACTCAGCTGGATACTTCGTTCCTCGTTATACGATCATCAAAATCAATACTTCCAGACCAGGAAACGCCTGACCAAAATGTTTAAATTGCCGGGATGCAATCTCTGGACTGAAATTTTTATCCTGATGGGCCATGAACGAGAAACAGGAAGCAGCCCTTTTCGAACGAAGGCGTTCGAAAACATAGATTCCTGTTCAGCTGCCCTCGGCCACTTGTTCAAGCCAGAACGCGAATGGTTCGAGGCATTGGTGAACCAAAATGAATATGTCGTCGACAGAGGACAGGTTTCTCTCACTCGGTTTATTATGATATCATCGCCTTTTGGAATAGCCGTGGCTCTTGGCAAGGTGGGATATGTCAAATGGAGACTCGGTAAACAGTGTCCATCTTCGCAAATACCCATCTTCGAATTGAACGAAGCCTTGTTGATAAAAATATTGACCATCTTCAGCTGGGATTCCCTGGATATCGTACCACATTGGTTGGCGCGAGGTCAAAGTTCAAAAGAGGACAGATTGCGCGCAACAGCTGAGGTTCTGAAATGGGGTGCCTCTCCGTCACTGCGGTCACACATACGACTCGACTCCGGATTCTGGGACATCGCGAATGGCACCGTGCAGTATCTTTGGCATTTCCTAATCGTCAGAACGTTACATGACTGCCTTTTCGACGTCAGCACGGAAGAGGCCTGGGATACACTCGAACTATTCTTCAAGCACGGTATTGCTACGGCTGCTCTCGACTTGATCATCAACATTGAAGGCTCATCTTTTGGCGACTTGACTGGTGCCACATGGATACACCACAAAGCTTCACTGATCATCTCATGCATAGACAGCGAGGGCCTGGTGGTTTTGAAACGATTGAAATTGTCTCCATTCCGGCAGAAGACGGACATGAAGATTTCGAAAGAGATCCACCGCAAAAGCGAACAAGACTTGCAATTAAGACTTCCACGCCACGAAGACGGCACAGTTCGCACCGGGATTCAAGGCTGGAAGTTGCGCGACTTCATAGCTCACGCCCAACCCCACAATATGCATGCTCTCCTTGCCTACCTGGACAACGCCGAAGATGAGCGGTGGGAAGGAATCTATGCGGAGCGCGAAAAAGCATGCGTCAAGATAGAAACGTTGAAAGAAAGTGGCATGTCGATGATTGGGATGCTGAGGGAAAATATTGTCGGCTTCTTTGACGAAGACTTGTCCTGGCCGGGCATCACCTTCGTGCCAATGTTGTTGCTTTGGGTCGCGGTCTTTCTTCACGAGTTGGTCCAGGAAGGCTTCTAAGTTAGCTCCAAGATCTTGTACTGAACAGTACCATCTGGGTAGACTGGCTGCCGGTATTGTGGTCAGCACCCTGATTCAAACTCCATGATAGTAACCCCGTCTTCGTCTGCTTATCTGTGTTCTTCTCAGGAATGAACAACGACAAGATGACTCAAAAATGTATGATATGCAATGGTTTCATCTCGACAGCACATTGAAACGTAGCGTTTGGCACCAAGCTGATTTCAGAGGGATACCCATTGGCTGCCTCTAGTGTTTGACAGTCGCGCGGAGCGAGACGGAGGGAAACACATCACGACGGCGTGACACGATCTGATCGGAATGGGTTTTATGCGTTCGCCTCCAGGTCCCTGTCGACAACAATCACCTAATAGCAAAAGGGTCGAGGATCTGCATGTCGCGCGATAGTGGGTGGACGCCGCGCTTGGCATGGTCTATTCATAGCGCTCAAAAACCGCGGGACTTGTAGCTGCAGCTGGGTCATCCCACGTCGCGAGGCCAGCGACTGACTTGTCCCGGCAGAAAGGGGATTCCTGGTCGGATGCCCCATGACCAGTTGCACGATGAACCAAGACGACGCCGCCGCCCCTCTATTCGACATGTCACCGAAGGGACGTTGCCATGCTGAGAAGACTTTGCGATGCGAAAAGCTAGGCTGTGAGCTATATTTGCGCTCGACCGCTGGAGATGGAAGAGGATCGACGTTCCCGCGATGTTCGATGAGACTTGCTATAGACCTTTGAGTCAATCTGCTCCGGTCTGATGGGTGTGGTCCCGGTACCACGACATTCGGCTCGGTGATGGTGCCGCGCATACCTAGAATAGAGGCCTCATTGATCGTGTCTTTTCAGTTTGGCCTCTGACGGCCCAGCTGGTATTGTTGGCTGCTCTCGTCTGCAGCCCATGTCGCTCGCATCCGTCATAACTTGTATGCGTTTTCTTAGGTATCCTCGCTTTCGGGCCCGTTCCCGCGGGTTTCACCCCCATCCCGGTCGCCTCGTGGGGCTCGAAGAAAGGGGGCCTCCGGCGGCTCCACCGTGATTTCCGGACCGCTGAGGTGCCTAGCCTTTGCAGGTATCTTAACCCGAGGAAAGCGAAGATTTCGTTTACAAGCCTCAAGACCCGATCCGAGTCTATTCTGCCTTGTGAGGAGCCGGGTGCTGGGCGTCGCGTTCGCATGGAGATGCTTATGGTAAACGAGCCCGCAGTCGCCTTTCGCTCGTCCTTCGCACGAGCCAAGATTTATCTCCCTGCTCAGGGCACCCAAGGTATAGTGCGCGGCGCGAGCTGCTTGTAGCACAGAAAACTGAGGCAGACTCGGTCCATCAGATCCCTGACGATACGAAAGATCCGACGCATAGCTCGCGCTGAGCAGGTTTCCCCATCGCATTTCACTGACCTCGGGCGGCTGCCTGGAAGTCAACCTTGATCTGGGTAAGAGCCGCATCGTATGGACCTCGTCAGAAGACGCTCACATGTACATGTAGCAGGGGGTTTGGTGAAGCTATATGTGGTTTCTTTGATGTGTATCTATAAGAGTTCGCGAAACTCTCTTGGCTGCCGAGCTGCCCGATCGATGGACCCCCATGCCGTCGCTTGCTGATAGCCTTTGACAATGGTCTCCCTCGTCACGTCGTTCACCTCCCTGGGGCCATCGGCCCTAGCCTACTGCGTCGCTTCGTCAGCGATCCACGTCGTCGGCTCCGTGTTCTTTGACCTCGTCCACTGGCTGGCTTATCGCTCCGGCCGCCGCATCACCGTCACCGGCGCGCGCGGCGCCCTAGGCCACGCCCTGGCCGACGCGCTCGGCCGCGAAAAGGGCGCCTCCGTGCAGACGGCGCGGTTCGGCCTCGACCGGACCTACGACGACTACAGCCGCCTCGACCCGCTGCTGCGCGCGACGGACATTCTGGTCCTCGCGCACGGCGCCAAGGGCCCCGACGCGCAGCGCGCCAACTGCGACAGCGCCGTCGCCATCATCGAGGCCTTCCGGCGGGTGCGCGCGCAGGTGCCGTCCTCGTCCCTGCTGCGGCCCGAGGTGTGGTACGTCGGCAGCGAGGCCGAGCTGCACGGCGCGTGGACGGAGGACATGCGTGCGCACACGAGCTCGAAGCGCGCCTTTGCGCGGTTCGCGCGCGCGTACTGTGACGACGACGACTTTACGTATCGCCACGTCGTGCCGGCGGCGTTCTCGTCCGCCATGGGTCCGGCGCTCGTCGCCTTGTGGTGGATTCGGCGCGGCGCGCGGTACGTGCCGGTTCCGTATACGGGGCTGGCCTTTCTCAATTTCTTTTTCGATTTTGTTTCTGGGTCAAGCCGGCGGCGGTGGGGAAGCTTAAGTAGATGGTGCGAACTCAAGTAGATGGTGCGAGCTCAAGTAGATGGTGCTTGGTGAGCTGGTGTCATAAGCGGTTGGAGTTCTAGAGGGCATGAGAGGATGTGCGTTAGGATGTCAAGGGTGAGGTCAGAACTTGTTGTATTTATGTACCCGTCTTCGTAAATAACCTCATGCGGGTTCTGAGGGACACCATGATTGCAGAGCTCACGCAGGTGTGAGGGCCGCGATGAAGATCATGATAGTTTTAACGCTACTGAAAATCCCATAGGCGAAAAGGCGCCCTCTTCTGCCCCTTAAGATAGCTACACTCAAGTTGTTCGCTGGTTCATTGAATTCATGTGAGTCATGTGAGGGGTGGTGTCAGGCGCCCCTGCGGAGCCGCCGAGCAGGCGGTCGGCCGGGGGCTCAAGGCTACGAGAAACGTATATAAATAGGCTGCGGAGGGCCCTCCAAGCCGCGGAGGGCCAGGATCCAGATGTGTTCCAATCTTCCACCTATTGTCAGGCGATCCTGCGGAGTCGCCAACCAGGGGGTTGGCTGGGGGCTAAGGGTCACGAGAAACGTATATATATAGACTGCGGAGGGCCAGAATTCAGATGTGTTCCAACCCCCTACCTATATTCCATCACCTGCGGACTCCGTGGGGAAGACCTCTTTACTCTGTTCTAAGCAAGGCTCTGACAGGTGGGGACTGGAAAGTAATTCAGTTGATTCGTTCCTATAGCGTGCTTCTAGGTTTAGATTGTTCGTTAGTATGCACTCGAGCCAGGTGCTCGTGCCTGGGTGTCTTGGTATTGTCGTCTCTTTCTGGACTTGGGTTTGGCTTCTGCACTCTCCATCGGCTATAAGCGCCTCTCCTTCGCTATATGATCTTTGTTACCCGTTATATATAGCAGTCCGCACCTGGTGCTGGGGGATGTGAAGACCGCGAGATGAGGTGCAGATAAGACTCCATAACAAGGCCTAATACAGATCAACATGACTCCCAGCGCGACCATCATGTGCTCGAGGATGTCGCGATACAGTTGAACCAATTCTTGCATGTTAATGATCTGAACTGGTGCTCCATAATTTGCAAATTGAATGCAAGGCTCCTCCACGGCATTTTAAACCCATATGGTTCACTAGGTACGCTCATCCTCCAAGACAAATTCCAGACCCACAACAGCACAGCTCACCCCAAAAGATGCCCCTCAGCCTGCACCCCTTCGGGCCGCCTCCAATGCACAGGCACGCCCCCCCAGCTCTCCTCCGAATAGCCCTCCTGGACCCTCTTGCAGGTGCGCAGCCCCCACTCGGTGACGCCGACCATGGCGCAGCTCTCGAACATGAAGGCGCAGCTGCCGTCGCCGACCTTGGCGGGCCGCAGCTCGGCGGCGCGCGCGGCCTCGCCGCTCTCGGCATCGGGCCCGTGGCCGCTCATGGTGTTGTGCAGGCTCGCGCCGCCGGGGACGAAGCCGCCGCGTCCGCCGCGCTTGGCGTCGTAGCCGCCGGCGATGAGGCCCATGAACTCGCTCATCGTGTTGCGGTGGTAGTAGGGCGGGCGGAACGTGTCCTCGGCGACGAGCCAGCGCGGCGGGAAGATGACGAAATCGGCAATGGCCGTGCCGGGGACGCCCGAGGGGGCCGAGAGGACGGTGAAGATGGAGGGGTCCGGGTGGTCGTAGGAGATGGAGCCGATCGTGTTGAAGCGGCCGAGGTCGTACTTGATGGGGTAGTAGTTTCCGTGCCAGGCGACCACGTCAAAGGGTGTGTGCGGCTGCGTCGTCTGGAAAAAGTCATTGTTGAATTTGACCGTGATGGTATACGCGCCGGGGCCCTCGTGCGCCGTGGCGCCGTGGCGCTCGGAGAAGGCGGCGCGCGGGGCCTGGAAATCGCGTGCGTTGGCGAGGCCATTGGTGCCAATGGGACCGAGCTCGGGGAGGTGAAAGTGGCCCTGGTACAGCTCGAGGGCGTAGCCGCGGGCTGGGCCGTCGGGCAGGGAGACGTGGTACTTGATGCCGCGGGGAATCACGGCAATCTCCATGGGGCGGACGAGCAGGTAGCCGAGCTCGGTGCGAATATCGAGGGTTCCCTCCTGCGGCACAATGAGGAGATCGCCATCGGCCGAGTAGAAGGCCGTCTCGTCGGCCATGCTCTTCCCCGCCGCGTAGATGTACATGCCGATGCCCTGCTTCAATGTTGGTTCGCCAGCACCGGCGACGAGGCGCTGGCCCGAGACGAAATCGAGCTCCTTCGTGGTGTCATGCTCAAAGGGATCCCATCGCAGCTGGTTGGGGATGTAGTGGAGCTTCGACGTGTTGGTGCGCTCGTTGACGTCGCTGTCTGGTGACGGTTTCGCCGGACCAAAAGGAGGGTGTGCGCAGGACGGCAGGATGCGGTAGAGCCAAGCCTGGCGGTTCTCGTGGCGAGGTGTTGTGAAGGCAGTGCCAGAGAGTTTCTCGGCGTAGAGGCCGTGTGGTGCTTTTTGTGGTGCGTTCTGGCCGATGGGAAGAGAATCTGGAATGGCCTCAGACCTGGACGCCTCAGTCACATGCTCTCCCGAATGGTCTCGTGACATGGGAATGGGGACCGATTGCTTACTCGAGATGGGAGTCGAAGCCGACCTGGTATCGGTACTTCTCTGGAACGTTAAACTTGGTGACAGGCATGCTGGGCAGCTGTGTGTTTGTCGTGGTGTGGATGTGTGATGGCTCTTTCACTTGATGCCAGCAGCAGCGAAGAAACGGCCACGAAAGAGGGGAAGCTCCATGGCTCTCAAATACTCTGTAGTCGTGGGATGACAGAGAAGCTGTCGACAGGTTAAGCCGACGTCTGCGTTCCGCACTCGAACGGCGAAGGGAAAGCGCGGCCTACCGTGGCTAGCCGAGCGCACCTGCTTGGGCCTTCCAATTCCGAGACGCGGCGGGGCGGACGCTCCACTAACAGAGGCCCCTACAAACCTGTAGCTCTTCTGTTAGGGTTCTTCTGTCTTCTGTTAGGGCTCTTCTGTCTTCTGTTAGGGCTCTTCTGTCTTCTGTTAGGGCTCTTCTGTCTTCTGTTAGGGGCTCTGTTCGGCGTGCTACCCCGCCATGACAAACCCAAGCAACCGTCCTCTGATGTGACGTGAGCCTGATGGTAGCCTCGCCTTGACACGCTGCGTTGCCTCTGGTGTTTGGGGATGCACGGATTGCCACAATGCATCCAACAAGCTGTCATAGATACATCCCATACTCATCCGTCCACACATGTGCAGACACACGTCAGAGGGGTGCCTCCTTATCGATAACTCGTAATCCTCGCGTCTGTGTCTGCCGTGCATCGTGACCCTTGTCGCCGAGTGGGTCAGGACATGGCTCCTCGCGCCCAAATCCGCGCTTGAGAGCTCCTCCATGTCCACTTTCTCAACGACATGCCTACACATTCAGCGACATGTCGTGATGCATCGGCGCCGTTGCATTGACAAGACGACATTTCAGAGCCATCACATGCAGTCGCGCAAAGCATGACGAGCCAATACTCTCTTCGTGGACACAGTCCGCTATGACAGAGCCCATCTCGTCTTTCCCAATACCTTCGATACCGTACACACGACACCTATGCGAACAAGAAGCCCCTGCCGTCATCCGAGAGCGGTAGTGGTGCTCCGCCGCCATGATGGGCACCCAATTGCCGTCCAACCCAAACACCCAGCGCCATCGCCATCACCATCGCCATTGTCACTCGCCAAGATGTGAAACCAGGAGCCACGCCAACGGAGCGGAGAAAAGGCCATGCAGGACCAAGAGTGGTTCAGAGACGCGCCAAAAGGAGGCCATGACCATGGCGCGACGGAGAGCAGAATCGAGACAACAGCCTCGTTACTCCTCCTCCTTCTTGCTCTTCTTCTTCTTGCCGCCGCCCGCTGGCAGGCCGGCGTCCTTTTGCAGGTGCACGACGAGGCGGGTCCACGACTCCTCCTTGTCCCACTCGAAGCCCTTGAGGTACGGGTTGTCAAGCTCGTCATCCGACTGGAGCCAGTCAGTGATTATTCAATTCAGTGCTCAAACGGTCAGTGCTCACCTTCTTCTTGTACGCCTTGTGAATGGCGTCCATGGCGTCCTTGATGGTCACGCCCTTGAGGTTCCTTGCCGTCACCTCCATACCTAGTGGGAAGTGGAGGTCGATCCGCTTGACTGGTGGCTTTGTGAGGTGCAGCTTGAGGATGTCCTTGTCCTCGACAGTGCCGGAGCTCGTGTTGATCTTCCTGTACGTGCGGGGTAACACCATCAGCCAACCACTCGCCTCAAAGCACACGCGCCAGCATGCCGCACGATCAATTGACGGCGGTATCACACATGTCATTTCTTACCATCCTGTTTTTTGCGTCTCTGGTGCAAGCTCAATCTCAGTCTTCTCTTCCTCTGCGTCACGTTAGCAGCCATCCGGGGCATCCGGGAGAAGGTTGGCGGCTCAGGTGGACCCGCGACGTACCGAGGTCAAGAATGTTGTACACGCCGGGAACGTGGGAACTCGCTCTACGCTTTGCCTTTTCCTTGGGGGGCGAGCCAGAGAGGCCCTCGACGGCGGAGTCGACCTTGGAGAGTGGTTCAGTCATGGTGATGATGTGGGTTTTGCGTTGCTGGATGGGCTGCTTGGAGAGCGAGAGGGGCAATGCAAGCTAGCGATGCGGGAAGCGTCTTCTGTTCTGTGAGCTGCCGTCAGCTCAATGGCTCGTGTGATGCTCGAGGCTGCTGTAGTGAGCTTCAAGGGATCGCGATTGAGGTGTACCTTTTTGGTCTGATGAAGCGGCAGTGGGAGTGGCAGCTGTAGGTGGTTGTGAGGAGGGGTGAGTTCGAAAGGAAGACGAAGAGGGGAAGAGAGCTGGTTTTGATGGTGAGGGGAGGGGAAGCTGATGGAACGAGGTAGGTACGTAACTGGGGGGGCTGATCAACGGAATGGGGGACTGACGGGATGCATGGGGATCGGTCGTGTCAGGTCACAAGACGCAATGCATTGCTCCAAGTCAGTGCTGCTGCTTCCCTCGCCCCATCTTTCGGGCCAGGCACACCCATTCTATCTTGATCCAGGCACAAGGTCCTGGCCTCGGGGGGAAGCCAGGGACGAAGTTGAGAGATCACATCATACCATTCGCTCCCTGTGCCAATGCATGGCCGTGACGAGGGGGTGGGAGATAATAGCCATCATCCACGGCGACCGTGACATTGACGCAACCCAGAGAGCCCGTGAAGCTGAAGGTGCGAGGGAGGCCAGAGAGGGGTAGCTCCTGCGTAGCCGTGGCTGATGCTTGCTTTGTTGCGCTGATCCGTTTCCGAACCTGAGCTGCTCCTGCCCTTTCCCCTCTCTCCTCTAGCTGATCTCGCCGGTCCGTCTCGGGAGAGGTCACCGGACAACCGATGAAGTCACGACCGCGCATCAGCCCAGTGAGACGGTACCTGACGTCGTTAGCCCACCCCGAGCCTGTACCGCACCTCTCCACCCCCAGAGCAGGGGGGGAAGGGCCAGAGCTACATGTACCACTGCCGGGGCCCTGCAAACGCCCCACCCCGTCATGCCACTGCCAGCGTCTGGCGAGTATGAGCTGACTTGCTGCCTTGCTGCCTCTTGTGCCTCTCCTTGCCTCTGGCCGTGCAATCACAGCAGCGACCCAATTACGCTTTCGTCACACCGAGCGGGGTAGACTGTACCCAGGCCAATCATGCCACCCCCTGACGTGCTTGCCAGACGATCGCGTGACGTTGGGGTCCAAGATGGAAATGCGTGCGGGAACCTACGCAGGGACATCACGTGGGGCCACTTCCACCGGATCCGCATCCGGGCGGGGTCCTCTTATCTCTTATCAAGCAGCCGACGCCTCGACTCTGGGGTAAATCTGGGGAAAGCGGGACCTTGGCTCCTCTTGTGCTGCAGTCCCTCTGCCTGGAGAGGGGTAGACTTGCATGCTTGGTCTTTCTGTTTGCTATCGGAACATGCTTGATGTATGCCTGCATTCAATCTCCTTGTCGAAACCTCTCTGAAGTGTCCTTGCACCAGTGTTTTAGGTTCGTATCCAGCCATGTGCAATATCAGGGGCATCTTCCGTGTGGTGCTATATACAGTGGTGATCATTCGGACTATAATCTTCATCTCTATTCGTCGAAAACACTTTATATTGTTCGTACTTATAGCCTTGACTAAACTTGAGTTCATTCTCGAGATAATTGCGGCTTCGCTCATGAACAGGGGCGCCAACTGTGAAGGCGGTCAGCTGCTCAGAGACCACAAGTCAAAGGCTGGCTCTGGTTTTCTTCAGATATTTTCCCTACCTCTGCAACACAATTGCTTCTCAGTTGCCTTGTGAGGTTATTTAGAGAAGAAACTCAAAAAAGCTGAAGACTAGCAACCCACTGATAGTCGGCGCCTCACTAAGTCACGTAAGTACATCATTAAGAGTCAACCTGCGACTTCATTCGACACCTACTGGAGAGACTGGTCTTTCCGCGAAAAATAAAGTTTGAGTAATTACCAGGTTCTTGAATAGAGCCGAACGCTAGATCCTATTGGCATGATGGAAGCTCAGTATTGGCTGGCCTTGACTGGCGACAACATGAGACCTGCCCCAATCACTCAAGGATAACCGAAAAAATCTCAGTCTGTGTTCTGCATTGAGGTCTTAGCGGGTTTCCAAACGCCAAATTCATTTAGTGAGTACCCAGGGAACCCTCATACGTTTCAACGAATCCATTGTTTACCGCATGATATTACACTACGAGACACAATAGCAGCTTTGAGGCGCTCAAATGACCACAGAAAATGCTTCAGATGCTTGTTGCAAGATGACGTCCCCTTTATATGGATGCGTAATGACCGTTTATCTACTTGGAGCTGATGGGCAACTTCAGTAATGATAGACCAGTGCATATCCGAGGCTCCTGAAAAATCCATTAAATATGACCATCGCCCTCGACATTCACTCCCAGAGAGCCAAGAAGTGCGTGCACCAACTCCAGTAAATTGAAAAATCACGGAAACAGATGCCCAGCAAGCATTTTGGTTATCCATGCACTCAGTTCCCACTGTGGCCCTGAATCGACATGCTGCGACAATCCACCAGACCTCAATTTGTGATATTATCCCGTCATTCAGGTCAACTTTGCAAGTGGCATTTTTTTTGCATTTGAGATGAGTCGTGGCAAAGGCCACATTGTACTCCACCTGTCCAGTTACCATCATATCAGCCAATTGAGAAGAGTGCCAATCAATAGAACAGCAACCAAAGGAAAACACTCGGTTGCTTTCGGATTTGCAACCCTTATTCTGCTGGGACTGGCAAGCTCGGAAGCCCCATTCGGAACAGGGCAGATCCCAGCCCTCAGAGGCCGCTCCACTAAGCGTCGAAATATCTCTCATTCCGATTAGTCTAGTGGTTAGGATATCGGCTTGTCATCCAAGGACCTCGAGTTCTGACATCCGCCGGGGACCGGGGTTCAATTCCCCGATCGGAAGTAGACTTTTGTTTTTGTTGTTTGGCGCGAGCCTGCGGGTAAAATCCACATGGCACGACAAAAGGAATCATCCGCCACTTATGGCGCTGAACCACATAGACTCACTCGCATTGGCTCTGAGCAGTACAGTAAACTGGATTCAAAGCAATGCATGGGTACTATTCTATTGGAGCCTGATGCTGCTGGCTTTGCGCCTGACCACATGCTTGTTCGCGAAAAACAGTGCGACGAAGCCGGATATCCGGACTGAAAGACCATTTGCTATTGGGAAAGGGGCGTAGTTGTTGAGTAGTGTGGCTATAATTCCCGCCCTTCATGAAGCTTGAACTTTATGTTTAGCACACCACTTCCAAGAGTCGGGGGCAGGCAAACCATCCGCCATTTATTGCTTACCCTCCATCAAAGCAGCGTGATATCTCCCACGACAGCCCTGTGGTCGCTGAAGAGCATCCCGCTGGCCTCATTGCTCAGGATCTCGTATCGCTGTACAGAGTACCTTCTGTCCGCCACCGGGCCAAGCCAGATAAAGTCAATGCGGCTCGTGGGCGCGCCCGCAGTAAACGTCGTGTAGGTATTTCCGTACGGTCCAATCCTCTGCGCCGGTGTCGCCAAGTTGTAGAGATCTTGCGCGTACCCGCTGTTGAGGAGCGTCTGATAAGCGTCGCCGCCAGGCTGGGAGTTGAAGTCGCCCGTGATCGAGACGCCAATGGGGCCCCAAGCGAGCTGCGCGGCCTGGGCCCTGGCGAGGACGACGCGGATGCCCTCGCTGCGGGCCTGGGCGCTCACGTTGTCGAGGTGCGTGTTGGCGTGGATGAAGCGCTTGCCGGTGGTGACAGACTCGAAGACGGCGAGAGTCACGACACGTCTGGAGCCGGCGCCCCATCCGAACGACACGACGTCCGGGGTCGGGGAAAGCCACTTTGTCTCCGAGAAGAGCACGCGGAGAGCAGCGGGCCGGTACAGGATGGGCGAAAACTCGCCGCTGGTGCCGCCGTCGTCGCGCCCGACGCCAATGTGCGACCAGCCGGATCCGAGCCCGTTCTTGATGTCGTTCAGCTGATTGTTGAGGACCTCCTGCAGACCGATGACAGTGACTGCGCCGGAGGGGGCGCCGGCCGCGATCTGGGACAGCTGGTTGATGACGTGTGGCTGGCGGCAGCGAGACGCAGAGGCCCAGCAGAAGGCATCCCACCAGGGCTTTTCGCCCGACTCACGAGAGCCTGCGTCGTAGCGGATGTTGCAAGTGACGGCGCGAACGGCCTGTGTGCCCTGGGCGGAAATGGCCACGGCGTTGAGGAGCAGCGTTAGAGGCGCGACAACGACTGAGAACTTCATCTTGGGCAAAGGAACGACTGCTTCAGGGAGTGTGGACACGACGAAGAGACTTGACGGTGATGGTTAAAGGCGCCGAAGCAGGAAGGGGCGGCCGATCTCCGCTTCTCATGTGATATCAAAGGCACTTATAGAGCAGCCATTGTCGACACGTGCATCAGTTGAGTGCTTGCCACCAATTGCGTGCCTTCACTGTCAAAGGCAAGGTACACGGCGTTGAAGCCTCGATGCGGAAAGGACAAGCCAGGGGTTGGCTGCGGGGTTCATGCAATTCACTCAAACATTCACCTGAACTGCAATAGTAGAAAGACAGGGTACCTGAAGATCTTTTTGGTTGACTCGGTGGCCCTCTAAATTCGGAAGAGCCGAGAGCGTGGTGCTGACTTTATTTGATTGCCTGGTTGGCCCATGTTTGATTGACCGCGAGAAGGCCTGGGCCTCAGTTCATGGTTCAAGCTTCGTCCTGATTCACAACCCATTCCCATGTTCCATGCGCTTGCTAGCGTTCTGACCGGCCTCTGGAACCGTTCTTCAACTTTGACACGAGGCCTTGACTTAGGGCCTGATGCAGCAGCACTTCTTCCTGAGGCCACCGCAGCCATCGCCGGTCATGTGCGAGAAGCCTCGTGTGTCGCAGTAGTCCTGGCATTTTCCCGACCAAAAGGCCGAGCACGAGCTTGGGTGGAAGCAGTTGTCCTGGCGAGCCTCGATGGGTGCGTCGGCGGCGAGTTGAGGAGCGGCCAGGACGGCGGTAAGGGTAGTGAGGATGACGGCAAACGATGTCTTCATGTTGACGGTTGGGTGGAAGATGATAAGATAAGTAGGTTTCAGTCTAGTTGATGGTTTTTGAGTGTGAATGATGTTGTGACTGGGAGCAGTATGTCGTGATCAAGCCAGAGGCCAACGGCTTTTATACTTTTGAGCTGCTCGCACATCTCACCTGATCTCAGCTGATGATGCTGCAATCGTGTCATGGATTCCTTCAGTTGTCGTTACACGAAGACGGTCTCGCGGCATCACAGCACCGAGGCTTACACCTTGAACAACCCGTTCTTTGCAACAACGTAGCACCCGTGAGTGGTGATCATCTACCCCCATAGCCAATAATGAGAACGAGAACAACTACTTGCCTTTTCTGATCTCGTAACTGTCGCCTAGGATACGAACGCTTTGGTCAAGATCATCAAGCTCGAGACGATCAGCTGAGATGATCAACGTTCTGTCTGACCTACTTGCCGCTCCAGGACCCCTCTTTCATGCAAATGGACCCATGGGAATCCACGCTCAGGATGAGACTCTGACTGCTGAGACACAGTGTTGAGAGCGCGTAGGATCTACAAGAATAAACTCAAGCTTCTCCAGCTCCTTCCTTTGAAAGACAAGTTAGGATCTTCAGCGTCACAGTCCCGGCCGTAATTGGCTGGCTGCGCTGCCCACTGCACTACACTCCCGTGCGGGGCGGAGCGGGCGGCTGCCGTTTATGGCCGGAGGATCGGCGCGGCGCCGTCCAGAGGTAGGCAGGTTTGAGTTCAGCTCGCGCAATGTTCCTCCGTGCTTACTGGCATCAGTTCTGACGACCAAGTGGACGGATAAAAATGGGTGCGGCGCCTGTATGCTCTCCGTCTCGTATCCTGTGTAATGATCCCAAGTCTGCAAGACTTGTTGCAAGCTAATTGGGTCCTGGCAGCGGCTGCTGAATTGAGCAGGGGAAAGACGTGGTAAATGAAAGAATATAGTATTGCGCAAGACGGTTCATAAGACATCTGATAGGTTGGCTTCCCTGGTTTGCGATGTGCAAACGAGTATGTACACATTCAAATGCACTGAGCTCCAGGGAACATGCTGATTTCCCAGTTCTTGGGGGTACATCATCAGCGCGTGTGATGAGCTAATTTTGGCCTTTAATGTAATCCGTCTGCTTGGTGAAAAGAACTCAAATGATGAATTAGAAGTCGGTCTCATGTAAGAACGGACTCGGAATATTACGCCGAGGAAGCTGAGCGATGGATCGAGTTCACCAGCGCAACGTGCGGCACAGCCATTGGCTAGAAATGCGCTACATTCGAACACGATTTCTTCCCCCCTCATTTGACGGGCATGGAACGCTTTCTCTTCCCAGCGCGCTGCAGTATTTGCTCCGACAACCATGACGAGTTACATCCCGCTCAACCAACCGCGTCAAATCAGGATCATTCACTTGGCGCCAGGGTCCCGCGAAGATCTGCTGTGCGGCACCATCGAAACCGTGCTTTTAGGCGAGGCTTCCTACGAAGCGTTGTCCTACGAATGGGGCGCACCCGACCGTGTCTGTAACTTTGGCCTTAAGCATGGATCGATCCCGATAACCACTTCGCTGCACCAGGCGTTGCGTGACCTTCGACGAAAAGCAGGTGTGCGAACCATCTGGGCCGACGGCATTTGCATCAACCAGGATGATCTTGTTGAACGGACGAAACAGGTGACCCTCATGGGTGAAATCTACAAGAATGCAAGCCGCGTTCTCACCTACATAGGGCCAGACGCAGACGACAGTTCTTCCGCTATCGAGTTTGCAGCCAACCTCGTTGCCTTCGGCGTCTCACGAATACGACACTCCGACCCGCGTATCCATATTCCCGAGGAGCTACCCAACCTCGGCCTCCCTGCCATCACAAGCCCGCGGTGGCAAGCTCTCAGGAAGCTCTTGACCAGAACTTGGGTATGTCTCCCAGTTTCCAAAGTTCTGGCCTCCCAACCCCGCTGACCCCGCAGGTGACTCGATGCTGGTGCGGTCAAGAGTTCCTTCTTAACAGGAACCTGACAGTCATGTGTGGTACTACAGAGCTGCGTGACTGGGAGCTCTTCTCGAAAGTCGTGAGACTTGTTTTCGCCAGACGCCTCCCAGCACACATCCTGCCTGCATCTGGGCAAGATCCGCTGGCCATCGGAGAGTGTGTCTTTGCTCTTGGTGGCGTCCGCCGAGCCATCCTCGACAAGAGGGCCCAATTCCGTCTGTCAAACTTGCTGCCGCAATTCCATGCATTCCAGGCAACGGATCCCAAAGACAAAATTTTCTCCGTTCTGGGGCTTGCAGTCGACCGCGAGGCACTCGGCGTGACGGTGGATTATACCCAAGCGACCGAAGAACTATACACCAGGGTTGCTGGCAGTATTTTGTCGCTCTATCAAGATGTCAACTTCCTCTCGAACAACCTCGGTGTGAAGAGGCTCGATCTTCCCTCATGGGTCCCTGACTGGTCAAGCTGGGTCTTTGGCACAGAATACGTCAACCGAGACTGGTATTACAAGACAGCCGGCTCTACCAAGGCGCATATTCAAGTACATGGCAGAACGATCGAAGTATCTGGCTGTTTGATCGGCCGAATTAAAAACCTCTCTAGCCCCATTGGCCCACACTACTTCAAGACCGGTTCGAGCGCGGAAAGAAATCAGTGGCTTCAAGAGCAAATGGAATTTATCAAGCCGCTGGGTCCTTACCCTGGAGAACCGGACTTGACCGATGCACTCTGGAGGACACTTATTGGCGATCTCACGGCTGGAGAGCAACCGGCGACGGGAGGGTATCGAGCCTTCTTCGACGCTCACAGGAACAGCAACGAGACTTCATCTTCAACGAAAGAGAAAGACATGGCCAGGCAATTTATTGATGCTACTCGCCGCAAATCCCGCAATCGGGTCCTCGCAACTATTGAGAGGGGGTACTTAGGAGCTGTACCCGTGACAAGCCGAATAGGAGATCATATCTGCCTATTTCACGGAGGCCGACATCTCTTCGTTGTTCGTCAGGAGATGGAGACTTTCCATTTCGTTGGCCCGACCTATGTTCACGGGCTCATGCAAGGGGAGACTTTTGAGGCCAACTGGTATCAGCCTCGGGCGATCTCAATTGCATAGCGCTAGATGGCAATGGCGGCAGAAAGACTCAGTGTCGGCGTTCTCGATGGAAAATGATCATCTCGCAAAAGGTTCCTCGACATCTTCCACTTGTGTACCGCCCACCACCAAATACACAGCCCCAGTGTCCTGTATGCAGGTCACGTAGGCAGAGCATGATGTGATAGGCTCTGTGCCACCTGTCTGCAGAAGAAAGCCTTCAAGACAGCCTGCGACTCGAGTGAAGCAACCCCGCTCGCAGTCCATCTCTCTCCTCTCTTCCTCTTCAGCCCCAGCCTGCTTCAGACCACCGTCAGAACCTGCAGGCAGCTCTCGAGGCGGATTCGTCGCCTTCACGCTACTCACCTCACTTTTGCCACGCCACCCGCAGTTATCATTCTGCAAGCCCCGCGTGAGACTATATCTGCCGCTGCACTCGTCGCCTGACTGACACCCCGGGCGAAAACTGAGGCGAGCACGATATCGTTGTCACACACACCTGCTCGAAACAGACAGCCGCTTTCACGCACCCCCACAAGTCGCGTTCTCAAAATGGGCTGGGCGGCCTCTTTTTTCGGCCGCAGGCCCTCGGAACCCGACTACAAGAAATGGGGCCGTAATGTCAGCGTGTACGACGAGAAGCTCCTCATGGCCGATCCATTGTCGTTGACGGCGAGCATTATTACCGTCCTCGGGGTTGCGGGCGCTACGGCAGCAGCTGTGCAGAAGGTCCAGGAGTTCAGGAACGCGCCTCTCGACGTGATTGCGCTGGGAAATGAGGTGAGCACCTCGCTTCGCCCACAGTGGACGCCACCTAACAGTGCTTGCTTTGCAGATCACCGACGTTCGCCTGCTTTTCACCGTGATCGAGAACACGATTGAGATGAAGACATTCAAGACGACAAGCATCGAGACGAGTGTTGGTTTGCTGGCACTGCTTGAGCGAGCTCGTGACTTGCTTGAGCAGATCCAGGACATACACCAGCGGATCCATCCTCCTGGCCCGGTTGGCAAGCAAAATGGCGACAAGCCCAAGATCTCAAGGAGAATTTGGGTCAAGGAGAGGAAGAACGTTGTCATGCTCCTGAAGCATCTTCGCCAGACGAGACAGAACCTTCAGACAGCCATCTCGTCCATCACATGCCATCAAACGTACGTGCTTATGGATAATCTTGCCATGCCAGTGTAGCTGACCGACTATAGGAGCGCAATCCCCGAGGCACACATGACCATCCAGACGTCGCTGGATGACCTCAAAACAAGCTTTGCGGCACGCTTTGATGAGTTCAAAGCCGAATTAGTCAACCTCCAGAAGCCGCAGATTCAGAATCACGACGCCGACCCGTCGCTGGAGAAGACTCCTCATCTCAATAGACAGAGCAGCTTTTCCAGTTCCGCGTCGACACTGGTTGGCATAACTGGCTGTCAATCTGTGACCAAGTGTCAGACGACGTGCCCTTGCAACTGCCATGTTCGAACGGCAATTCGGTCGCCAACCTGGGTAAGAGGTGTTCTTGGCTCTCTGTTCCTAAGCTACGCCGGCTCTCCGATCTCCGGTAGGCCAGATTGTAATTACATGCCGTGTAAGCGGAGCAAGAGTGTGGGGACAGCATACACATACCACTTCCCCAGCTGGATGGTTGCCAAGGCTGTTTTCTTTGAGATGTCCAAGAACGACCTCTTGGGATACAGTGCCTCGTGGACCCTTCACATTCCCAAGGTTCTGAGCGATGGCGACCCCATCTGGAGGTTTATCAACTACGGGACTGTACCTCAAATCATCGACATTCTAGCCAAGAAGCAAGTTTCGGCATGCGATATGAATCGAGATGGAAAGTCTCTCCTACATGTAAGCTCACACCCCAAAGGCTTGTCCGCGTCCAACTGCTAAAGACCCATAATCAGTTTGCTGTGGAGTGGGAACGGCCTGACATTTGCAAATATCTACTCACCCAAGGTGTCAGCCGATTCTTCCAGGATGACACAGGGTTGTAAGCTAGAACCGCCACTCAAAAGATAACCCTCGATTTACTGACCGTCTCAGTACCGCCTCGATGATGGCATGCGAGAAGGTCCTCCCGCCGACTGCTTCCAAGGAGCGCATCGAAAAGCAGGATCAGCTCCGCCAGGTCTTCCAAGACGATGACCTTGCCGAGACGATGGACTTCCCGCCCCTGACACTGGCCATTCTTCGCCTTCCGGAAGCCGACTTTGCAACTCACCTCGATCTCAATTTTGCCTCAATCAACGTCCAGGACACACTCGGTCGCACACCCCTCATCTGGGCGACCGCGCTCCGAAAGCCTCTCATCGCCCAGCTCCTCGTAGACTACGGCGCCGACACAGCCCTTACAGACAAGCATTCGAAAACGGCGTTGCACTGGGCCATGATTTCGCAATCGAGAGACGTCGCAGAGGTCCTCATCAACGGCTCCGCCAATCTCGAAGCCAGGGACGTTTTCGGCCGAACGGCCTTGCACGAAGTAGCCAAGGTTGCGCAGAGCGCTGACATGATCAACCTCCTCCTGGACTCGGGTGCCGTTCTCGACGCTAAGGATGCCCGGTATGAGAGAACGCCGCTCTACCTCGCGACATACCATGGCCGCACAGAAAACATGACCGTGCTGCTGGATAGGGGAGCGGACATCGAGGTCTTAGGGCCCATAAGCGGGCATACGCCGCTACTTGCTGCTGTGGCTTACAACCGCTCGGCAAGTGTCGAGCTGCTGCTGAGTCGAGGCGCGGACGTGTCGGCCATCGACAACGGCGGGAGGAACATTCTGCATAACGTGGCGAGGTATGGCTCTGCTGCCATTATGCGGGCCATCACTGCTGCCATGTCATTGACTCCTCATGGCTGTATTGACGTTGAGCTGGTGGACCAGAAGGGGCTCGCTGCTGAGGAGTACTTCCTGCAGCACAGAAATGAGTACTATAACGGTGAGATTTCAGGAGAGGAGGAGAAATGCTGGGCTGAACTCATTCGAGTTGCGCGTGGTTAAGATTCTTCGACGAGGGTAATTTATTACTGAGAGGGACGAGAACGAATGTAATTGATAGCAATGCCAGCCTATTTGCAATGTGATCTGGAAAACCCAAGCAAGAAGGCATCTTAAATCAAGCTGTGCACAATAAGGATACGGTCTGAAACTCTTGGGAGATAGGCGAGAACTGGCTCGACGTATTTTGGAATGTCTGTCTACTGCCTTCTTGCTCAACGCATAAGACTAGAAGATGTTCTGCCGAGATCAACAGCCACACAACACGCTCGACCACGGAGCCTTGAGCCTTCGCCACTGCGGCCTCGTGCTCTCTCGACCGCCTGAACTGAGCTCCCCACGCCGTTTCCAACCACTCCTTGTCAACAACATCACAGTTCAGAAGATCTGAAAACTCAACATGTATGCATATCGTCGTATAGCCCCCGAGCGCTTTCCCTCAGGACACCGCCTGAAGACCTCCGTGTAGTTTACCATGAGCCGTGTACCCCAAGCCCCCAAGACCCAAATAATGCCATGCACGCCCTCATACTTTTAATGCAGAAACAAGACAACAAGCGTACTGATAACATACCCCGACGCCCCCCCGTGTTCCGTATCCATGCATGTATGTTTTCCACGAACAGAAAAGAAAAGAAAAAGCCCACCCACCTGATCTCACGAGCCCCTACACCGCGGATCGGATGTCTAGTCCGACAAGGGCTTCCGGCCACAGACTGTCCGAAAAGGCATGTAGGCATGATACCCCGTCGTCTTGATCGACTCCCTCACCCGCAGCAAGAAGACCTCGAGCCGCGGCCTCTCCCACGTCAGCGCCGCAAAGGGCCGGGCGCTCAGCCCACCCAAGCCGGCGAGCAAGCTCTCTCGCAGCAGGCCGCCGCAGAAGCGCAGACTCTCGTCCGCAGGCCATGACCCGACGGGACACTTGCGCGAGTGCTCCGTCACGGCGGTGAAGCCGAGGGCCCGCATCTCGTCGGCGACGGAGGTGATGCTGTAGAGGTCGACGCCGCGCGCCGACAGGCCGCTGGCGAGGTGGACGAACCACTCGCGGAGGGCATAGTCGTTGCCTTCGGGGCACGTGTTGTCGTCGCAGCGGAGGTTGCATTCGAACTCTTGGACTTCAAAATAGCCGCCGGGTTTAAGGTGGCTAGCGGTTGTTAGCGAAGCGCTCTTGGCCTGGACAAGACGAGACACGCACTCGAGAACCCTCTTCAGAAGCTCCGGTCGGTTGTGGACCGAGTGCAGCGTGTGCCGGAGGTGGATGTAGTCAAACGTGCGTCCGTCAAAGTCCCAGCCCTGCTCGTGTTCCATGTCATCGACGTAGAAGCGCACATTTGGTGGCACCTCACTTGACTGGATCGGTGACAGGTCAATCCCCTCAAAAGAGGAGCGGGGATATTTGTCGGCCACTGCATCATGCGAAGAAAGCAAGAATTATATTAGCAAAGATCAACGGTAGAGGGGAAGAGGGCACGTCGTGCGACGTTGGCGAAGTAGCGATTGGATTCAGGATATCAACTCCTGTGGGGTGTACCTGCAGGTGGGAGGGGGGAGATGGGAAGACGACAGGATAGTACTCACGTTCTTCGCACCAAATGCCGATGCCGGTTCCTGCTGCAATGTTAGCGATGCCGCAATGGTGGCGAGGCCAAAGTGCCGGGGTGTTGGTTGGGTGGCGAATAAGTCAAAGGGCGAGGGGATCCAACATACCGAGATCGAGCACCTCAGCCCCCCTTTCCAGCCATTGCTCGACGGGAGCGATGAAATGGCTTTCACCACACATCTCATAACTGAGCTGATGTGCCAACTGATCACGTTCCTGCTCCGTCTCATCGTTGGGAAATGCGTAGATTCCTGGCCGATACCCATGGTAGCGCAATCCGTTTTCGTAAGAATGTGCTCTGGCACTGTCGGTCAGGCTGGCGGTGTCGCCACGGTCGTCCATCATGGCGGGGTCGGCAACGGCAATTGACGGGGACGATTGTTTTTCTGGCGATGTGGACTCAGCCGGCGACGGCGGATCGACCCTGCGGCGCTTCACTGGAAACTCCGCATGGGACATGCTGGATCTGATGGGTATGGAATGAGAGGCGGAAGGTCGACTTCTCATCGTCGGCGATTGACTCTGTCGTGTGCTGGCGTTCGAGCTTGGTGGTGAATTCATTGTGAGATTGATCCGTTCACGACATACGGCTGGCGCTCCGAATAGCTCTCAGACTGCCCGAACCCGTCCCGTCGATTCGGAGCTCAGCACAGATCAGCGGCGTGCTGTGTAGACAAGGTGTGTGTAGAAGCTGAACAATAAGACTTCGACTGGTGAGCCCCGGAAAGGGGTTCGCCGGGTGTTGAGACCTTCAAGGCTGACTCGAAATCAAGAAGAGGTCGTTAAGCACTGAAACACAAACCAAAAGACGGGACAAGGGGCGAGGCACGACTTCGAGGCAGAGAAAAGAAGAGACGCAAAGCTGTTCGACAGATTCTAGTACGAGATCTCCTCGACGATCAGCTACTGGCGGCAGGCCGGACGCTTTCCGCTTCATATATCCTGGTCGCCTACCTGGGCGTTGCTTGGGCCCGAACGGCGCGCTCCTTTCTAGCGTCACTTTCAAAGTGTAGGCTTCCACGGGTTCTTGCAGCAGCGTTGCCTGAGCCTTGGCCGCCTTGGGCCGTAGCGTGAAGGGACCCTGGCCAACCTGGCTTAAGCCCCTGTTGCACAGGCTTTTTGGCAGTGGCTAGGGTGCTGTCCAGCACAAGCGCGCCGTAAGATGTGCATGTCTCGAGGGTAGCGATTCCTGCGGACGAACTGTCGGGTCAGACACTTGTTGGGGACCCGAGCGAGAGGAACGAGGGCGCCCAGACGGCGTCTTGATTGGGACAAGAAAAGGTCCCGTCCCCGGGAAGAGGGAGGAATCGATGATGTGTTGGCAGACGTGGCTTGACCTAGGACTACTACGGTGAAGAGATCAGCCAGCGAACCACAGGAAGCAGGCGACATGGCCGCACGCCCCAGCGGGCAACCGACAAGGCGGGGGTCGATGAGCTGCAGGATCCGAGAAATGATAGCTCGACCGTTTCGGACAAAGCTGCATGATGGCTTGAGGGAGCCATGCCGCGACCATGTTAACGGATCTCAGACGAGTCTCGGGGGGGGGGGGGGGGGGACTAGAGCAGAAGACTGGGCAAGGAAATCAAGATGCCGCCGACAGCCCAACCACGTCCTCGTGGAGCACTAGAATGGTTTCATTCTGCTCGAGAGCGGCCCGCCTGCACGGTGCTGTTTCTGGGAGGGACGGCAATTCAGCTTAGTGGTTTGAAGGTGTCCTGCCCTGCTCCAAATGGAAGGCCGTTTCTTTTGCCGCAGATTGTTGTACAAAATCAAGACAATTCACGCCACCTTTGTGAGGTATCTTTCCTGATGGAATGCTAAGTGGCTGAAGGGGTTTTAACAAGCCCAACGATGCTCTCTTGCGAAAAATTGCAGCGGAATAGCTATTCATACAGTCTCTTACGTACCAGACGTCTGATTCCGGTCGTTTCCCGCTTGTGCCGCAGTCAAGGACCCTGCTGGTCTCTTTCTTCTTTGGCGCCGTGGACCGCGGGCGAAGGCGCGTTCATGGGATGAGGTAACGAGGGGGCGCTCGCTTTGCATCGCATCACAATAGAGAGCCTTCGGCCAACGCCAGTGGAGCCATGTGGTGGGGGTTTGCTTTTGTTTTTCTTTTCCAGCCATCCCACTCGGAAAAGGGGGCGGCAACAGGGGTTTCCGGGGTCAGGCCCAGGGCTCCAAGACGCCCGGCCTGTCCTTGAGAGCTCTCCCGCCATAGCCTACCGGGTCCCCCCGGGATTTCCAGCGGTTTGGCACGACACAGGGGGGCCCAGTCATTGAACAGGAGCTTGCACGACTGGCAAGCCACTGATCGCACATCTGTCAGTATCTCAACCTAATCAAGATGCTCAAAGTCCCTTCACACCAGCCGATGTTGTGGCTTCTCGGGGTAGACTCCTTGGTCTGAAGTACCCGACTTGATCAGCACCTGATGCTGAGGCTGGATGCTGTTGACGGGCAATCACGAATGCCTGTTTCTTCATACGTCCAGCGTGGCACGGCGCCATGTTGCTTCTTCTTGTCAAGTCGATCTCAGGCTTGTACCCGTCAGTTGGCCATCGTGTCCCGCACGAGGCGGGTGGTTACATTTGGCATGGTGGATGGACAAGCGAGCCCCATCCCACCATCATGTACCTCGGACGCCGTACGCGGGCACCCATTCAACATGGCCAAGTCCCGCCCTGTTTGGGAATGCACATGGGACCAAGTGTTAGACTCGCTTGCTTACCGAACCTTGGCTTGTGTTTTTCCCAAACTTTCCAGTGCTCGAAGGAAGAGTACGTCAGTGGTATATTCTGCGAGTCCTCGTCTGATCCTGAGATTGCAGGCGCGAAGACGTAATCAAACCATCGACTCCAACATGGCGAGCGGTATCAGCTCTGACTCGAGGCGCTGTAAACGACACAGCAGGACACCTGTCTCATCAAGGCGGAAAATGAGGGCGTTTCGCTGACCTTCCCAGCTTGGGGTGATGTGCTGCATGGCCACAAGCTAGTTGTTGGGCAGCAGTTGAGGGTTGCATCGTCTGCCGCGCTGATGCACCTCACCTGCACACCACGCACCAACCGCCGTCCCATGCCCTCGTCGTCGGTGATGAGGCCCCGACCCGAGTCTTACGCACTGCCCCCCCCGCTTGTGAGTCCTCCTCTCGCCTGCACGGTCCCATGGCTCTGCTCTGTCTATCCAACCTGAGTCGACCAAACCAAAGTCATCGACGCGATGCGTGGTTGTGCTAGTTTTAGAACCGAGCGGTCCAGGCACACTCATGAGCCATGCGAGGTAGCAACAGTTTTGGGTGCATGGCATGGTGCTCGGAGCCCTCCTATTTCATGAGGGAATATATTCTCTCGTATCCTGGCCACGGATGGCCCCTGTTCTAGTCGAGCTTAATTCATCTGGCGCGCGACGATCCTGCCGCCAACTTGGATCGAGTGGTGGGGTTCACTAAGTGGTTCGCGGACCCGAAGGGCCCAAACACGACGTCGATCGTGCCTCCCGCTGTCCGTTCACCGCCTCTCCCGGGGCGCCGTCTCAACCACTCAATCCTAACTTGAACCTCAGCAGGCGACCCGGGTACCTGGTCCTGTTGTTGCGCGAGTCAAGAGCACGTAGAAATGTCGGGATCTAGATGGCCCGGCAGAACTGCCTTCAGGCACAAAGAAAGTCGAAGAAACTAAGTAAAAACTTACCTGGCTTGTAAAAAGAGGTCCCTACCGCCTCAACCACACCGCTCGAGGTTTAGGCAAACGTTGCTGGTGTAGTTGGTGCTCTATAACTGTACACAGATAGCTGCATTGTGATGATATCTTGTGCTCCATAAACTAGAATGCGATGCACACTGCAGGTAACTGCAGTGGTACTCCTCCGTTGTTCGCCTCGGCCAGATGGCAGCAGAAATGGCATGATCGGGCAAGCGAAATTGTTCATGTGACGGTGCTCTCACAGAGGGGTTGCTGTTGACGCAGCACTCGGTCTAATTCCATCGACCGACGGCTTTGGCGGCTTTGGCAAGAAACAGCCTGGCTGTTGCCTCGTTCACTCGTTATGCGCCCCTTTGACAGGTTGACCCGAGGAGGGGAAATGGCATGACTTGTGCGTCCCAGCTCCCAATGCTGTGGGTCGGTAGATGCACGCCGGAGACGAGGCTTCTGGGTTCCGGCTCATTGCAGGCGCCTCCATCCAGCAGACCGGGTGAGAGTGCGCCTGAACCGACGCACGAGAACGGCGCCTGACTCTGACAGAGTGGTCATGGCCGGCCATGTCGCGTGTTTGCACTCGCACAAAGGAGGTGCATCGATAGAAGCGTGACATACCACCCGATAGCGTTTTTGCAGCTCACCTTCACCTAGGAGCGAGGTGCGCCGGGGAACTAGGGTTGTTGGTTCCGACCATTGTGGCCACCCAACATTGGGGTGCGTGGTTGCATGGCATTGAAAAGAGAGCCAACTCCTCAGGGACTGTGAGTCCTCCCTTCTACCCAAGATTACATCCAGGTACGGGACACCATCGGAGCTAGGTGCCCCAGTGCCGGTTGCCGCTGGGCGGATCTTTCCGTCTTGGTATTGGGTGTCCTAATTGGGACCAACATCATGGGGCAGCGTGCCATGCAGATTTGATGTCAGGTTCAAAGTACGCGTCGTCCGCCGTGCCGCACAGGTGACTGCTCAAACATCTGCCACTGTGCAAATCAGACGGGAGGAGCGTCTGGCGCCTGGCATTGAAAGGTGCTCAAGCAAAGCAGACGAAACTTTTCAAGCCTGCCAGCCCCTTCTTTCCGCATGCATATCTCAAAACACTGTGGGCCTCGGCCCAGCCCCCACGGACAAAATGGCACGATGCGACCTCGAGATGCAAGACTGTGTAACTTTTTCTGGCTAGAGCCAACCGACCGCCGGTCAGTATGTTCCGATCGGTTTTTGACGAGCCACGGCTCCGAGATTTCCGTTTCAGTTATCGAGGAACGGAGGTATCGACTCGAAAGTCGAAAGGCTTCACACGTGGATAGCGCGCCGTATCAGCGTACTTTATGCGGCACGAGCGTCGTGGTTTTCTCGAATTCTAATGTCGATATCAACAAAGAGAAGCGTGTCGGTTGGGTAGGTAGACGCCATTCTAAGAACAACGCCACAGATGTCCTTTATATCTTCGTGTGCCTAACCCGGAGGACGGAGTGGATGTGTCCTAGGCTGCTTCGATTGTGTGGAATGGGCTTCTTCGCTGCCGATGCAACTCGCTGGTCATGTTGCCAGCGGTAGGCACAGCCTCGGAGGCTCGGTGTTGTCTCTGCCGTCAGGTGCTCGGATCAGCAGGCTGTCATTCTTGCATCTCACAAACGATGAATCTCAATTCGGAAACCTTTGCCTGCTGTTTCGACAATGAGTAGGGTGGGGGGACAGGAGAATAGGGGAGCAAAGTTGAGTACCAGTGCCTCTGTGTGCGGTAGGCCGGTTTGAGATCGGAGGTCTGCTGATGCTTCCGCATGTGTACTGCGTCCACACATAACTCGGATTTTCTGTCGTGCCTGCCCACGTATTCTGGCTTCCGAGGAAGCGACTCCTCAGTGCTCTTGACAGGTAATACAACGCCTGGCGAGCTTGGCCAGACATTCAATGGGACTTCTGGACAGTTGGGTACCTATTTTATGACGATCCGAGCAGAAGGGGCTCAAGGCATCGTTAGGGCAAGGGCAAGGCCCATCATCAGTGGTTTGTACGCGACTGCCTGTTCAAGAGCGGCCATTTGACAGTGCCTGCTTCCATCTGCCATGGAGCCTTCCTTCTCTTCAAACACAACAGGGTAGCCCGACTGCCCAACATGCCTGCTGTACCGAAGGGAATACTTTACGACATCTGGTGCAAAGTTTTGCTGCCTGCAATTCGGTTCACCAGAAAGCTGAGTGAAATGGTTGTGCCTCCTTGCGCCAGAGGTAAGCTACCTTCGATACCTCCTGCAGTGGTCAAGATAAGGTACATTGCGTCTGCTCCTCCCCGTGATGCTTGAGTTTGCCATCATGTTCGCTCCTTACAAGGAGCTTATTCCTACAACCCGAGGTTTTTCAAGTCCACTCCTCATCCCGACATAAAGGCTGATCGTAGAATCGGGATTCCATTAGCAAGCAGCATTCATCTGCAAAGTCGCGGATGTCACTGAAACATTCTGCCGACATCAAATGTTTACTTCGTGTTGCTTTGGCGATTTCGGGTCGAACTTGCCTGAGGACAGGTCCCTTCCAAACACAACCAAACCCTTCCTTGTCGATGGCCAGCCTGCATGGACTACTACCCATTGCAGCTTCCTACCGTAGGAACCTTAGGTTCATCGACTTTGGAGCTTGATGTCCGCGTTTTCTGATTATCCAACCTTAGCATTCATCTTTCTCCGACAGCATCATCGTCTACCTTAAAGAGCTTTCCGTCCATGGCTATCATGGCTGTCCCTTTCAATCTCCCAATTGTCCTTCTAACTCTTCCTTCAAATTCGCAGAACCGATTTCAGATCGATTATACCATCGAATATCAGCCTCTAGCCTTCTTCAACGTTTCAACGTTTCATCCTTCCATTTCCTCTTCTTATTCTCCGAGTACTCTCCAACCTAGCAAGCAGGCGCTTCCTTTTTCATCACATCTCGACCTTCTTCGTCGTTATAGTCACCCAGATTCTGTCTCTTTCATCTCACAACATGGCAGAATCAAATACTCCCATCCCTCAGGAAAACCAGCAGTCGAGGTACAGTGAGTTGGAACTCATTGCAGCACAGGCTCTGGTCTTGATGGCATTGTACCATCCCCCACAAGATACCGCCGCCAACATCAAGACCAACGACCTGGAAGCATCTCATATCCTTCCGCTTCCAAGTTCCGTCGAGGGGGACCCGGCACTACCAGTTCCCCCGCCAGACGCCGATGACAGGACGCCGGCCGGTAACAGGACGCCGGCGGCCACAGGGAACGCACCGGACGACGCCGGCCTCACCAAGGACGAGGTCGTATCGACAACGAAGAAGAGTAAGGCAGGCAGCAAGAATCCCTGCGCCAAGACTGAGTCGGCACGGGCCAAGTACGACCGCATCGTGGCCCTCGACTGCCTCGCGAAACGGAAATGCGCAAACTGCGCCAAGAAGCGGAGAGGCTGCGACTGCTATATCGATCCAGAAAGGCTGAACTCGGCTTGTTCCAAGTGCACTCTCCACAAGGAGGGCTGCTCTTTTGTCCAGAACGCAGCTGAGCCGCTGGGCCCGGACGGAATCGTACACGCTCCGGCCTCCCAGGAGCTGCCAAGGCGCAGGGCACCTGCAGGACGCGAGGAGACGGTCGAGACGCCCGTCAAGAACGCCATGGGCGTTGCACCAAGCGACTCTGTTCCGGAAGAAGTGCAGGAACGAATCGAGCAAGAACTAGCTCGATATCAATCAGCACCTGCCGAACAAAAGCCGGCAGCAATATCGGCATCAGAGTCTCGACCGGACGCCTCTCGTGACGTAAAGAGCAGCCTTAAGCGGACGCCTCTCCCTTCCAGTCGTCCCAAGCCGGCCACGACGTCCGGAGTGGGTGCAAAGAGGAAGCCGCTTCCTGATGGTCGCCCCAAGTCGTCAGCAAAATGCACCAACGACAGCAAGCCGGAGCCTACGGAAGACGGCGATCCTGTCCCAAAGCGAGAAACTTCCCCGGCGAAAAGACGGAAGCTGGGGCCGGCAGCCTCTCAGACGACAGGCGCGAACGGTGATTCAGCGGAGGATACGAAACAGTAACTCGATGGGTTCTTCCACAGTAGAAAATGGGATATTCGGAATGAAGTGTAAAAGAACTTGGCGAAGGCGACGGAAGATTTCGACGTCTGTTGGACAAACACCGAAAATTGTAGCACTATCAGTTCACCGGTGGCCAACGTGAATGGCCGTGTTATGAATACTGTTGAAATTCTCTCGGTTGACGCATTTCCATGGGTACAGTCTGTGATACTGCAGGGACGCTCGATACCCATCATGTGATACATGGATACCTCGTCAGCCCTACGTCGACGCTGAACTTAAAGCGTGTATAATTCCGGAAAGAAAAAAATTACATGCAACCTTGGGATCTGTGGCGTCTCTCAGGACTTGGTGGCGTCAGGGTTGAGACACTGACCGCAACCAGGCCGCTGTCGGTTCGAGGAGTCTGTCCACCCAGGTAGTTTCCTTGCCATTTCGTTTGCCTGCTTGATATCGTCAATCAAGGGATGTATCATCACGACAGAGGGCATTGTGATAGACGGCTCTGAACACTTTTGGTACATTCTTCTTAGTAGCCATGAAACAGGCTCCTACTGACTAAGAAATATTTCCTATCACTAGCCGGTCGTTTTGTTCTCCCTGTAGCCTCGTGCGTACTCAGGTAACCCTATGCCGCAGCATGTTCTCCTGGTTCTTTCTTCCACGAAATCGTTCCCCGTCATTACTGCTTCTTGTTCTGGGCGTAGAAGAAATTCGCAGCTAGCAAGGTCAGTGCAGCCCCCCCAATCCGACGACAAAAGCCACTCACCGATCGGCACGAGCCCATTGGCATGCGCCCAGTCCTTGACGCCGTGTCCCGGCGCGCTGGCCCCCCAGTGTTTCCGATCACCCGGCTTCGAGAGGTTCAGCGGCTCGGTCGTCCCGTTGGCGGGCACGAAGGCGATGAGGACGTAGCGATGGGGGCCCGTCTTCTCGGGCGGCGCGGGGGGTTTGTACTCGAGCACGTCCTCGAGCTTGCTGGCCGAGGCGGAGAGGGAGAGCCCCGTGGCGATCCAGTGGCAGAACTCGCCCCATTTGGGATCGTCACGCGATGGGGCGTCTGGGTCCGTGAGGGTGAGGACGTAGGACTTGCCTGCCTCGAGACTGGATACGGAATCGGCTTTTTCGAGATGGACCGATGGGGGCGAAGAGAGCGCCGAAGGGTCGAGGCTGTTGCCGAGGGACACGGCTGCGTCTTTGGACCAGGAGGCGGAGAGGCCGAGGACGGGCTGGAACTCGGAAATGACGTTGGGGATGATGCCGGCTTGGAAGAGGCTGGGACTCGTCAGTGGTGTCCTTTGACGTGGGGGAGGAGGGGGGGAAAGCCATACGCTTCGTGAACCTCGGTCATGTCATCGTTGTCGGACGCAATGACCTTTTGGTTGGCGAGACGAGCCAGGGAGAGGTGAGCCAGGGCAAGAGTTGCCATGGTCATGAACGAGATGCCGCGCATTGGGGGTTGGGATCTGGATGGAGTCAATTCGAAGCGAGGCTGGCCGCTTCCTGTTGTACGGCATGGGGGTACAATTGAGATGTTTGTTCGATGGAAGGCGATGCGCTATTAACGAGCCCTTGTTGATCAAGGTGAGGTTGTTTAGTGCCTCAGTACCTAGGTGGGAAACATGCAGGCGCATGATGTCACGCTGTTGGGAGATATCTCATCACATCACTGGGCGCACATTAATCAACCCCGCACATCCAACAGCTGCCCGTGTCTCCCTCCCCTTCCTCTGCTCTCAGCCGCGTACCTGCCCCTTCCGGACTGCACTAAGGGGATCGATCGCCAAAGACAGGCGCCACAAGGACCTTGATGCTGACATGTCCCTGTCTAGGTGTGCAGGCTTATTTCGATTGTTATTGGGAATCCTTTGTTGGAGTACTTGGCGTTGAAAAGCCGGGCATTGCTTGCTTGGTCTGGCTTGTTGCTGTGTTGTGTGCTTCCAGCCTCAGTGGTGCAGAGGAACGTGTGGGTCGTCCTCGTCATCTGCAGAACATGCCGGCATGCTTAATTTATCCCTTAAATGTGAGCAGAGAAAGATGGCCACGACTGCAAGGTTGATGTGGCAACTCAAAATCCTCAAACTCAATTGAAATACGTGACTGGCCGTCGAGCTTTGGCCCTCGCGGTAGGCTACTGGTAGTATAATGAGCTCTGTGTTGCTGTCTTCGCGAGGTCATCCTAGAGAACTAATAAAAAATCGCAAAGCAAACCCACACCCCCTCTTTCTACTTTATTTTCTCTCGCTGATTATGTCTTCTTCTTGCAGAATGCTCTGGATAGCTCCCACAGTCCACCATCAAATCAGCATCCCGTGGGTACAATCACGTTCATCATGGTGTTCGCAGCGCTTGTATCCTTCAATCCTACAGTGATCTATTGGCCCCGAGCTCCAACCTGAATGCCACTTATAATAAGGAGTATATGAAACCGAAGTGCGCGCGGGGCACTCTGGCGTGTGGGCATACTGGCAATTTGTCAACTCCAGCCGTAGGAAAGCATTGCGAAGTCCGCATTAAGCCCGATTTTCTCTGATATGCGAAGAAGTAAGAGGAGAGATCCTAGGGAAACGGTCCATTGGCGCCACCCCTGACGACGGATTTGCTCGAAGACCTTGACCGGCGCCGCAAACTTCACAGTTGCAGCTGCCGCGTATTGCCTCTCGTCAGCTCAATCGGAGGAAGAGGCAGCGTCGCCCGGAGCGCCCTAGCGGGGACAGCAAGATGCGCCAGTAGAGCAGGTTGTCTGAGATAAAGCAGCCCTGCGCTGGCCAGACCATCCATTTCGGCCGCAAGGTCTGAGCACAGTGACCCGGCATACCGGCACCGACAGCTGCGTGCCCAAAGAAGTCAGGGTTGTAGGGCACTAAATCCCGGCATTGGCGTCCGCATTCGCCAGTGCCCCGTGGCATAATCAGCTTGGGTTGTGGAGCGGAGCTTTCGGAGATGATCTAAACCGCGCCTCTTCTCAATACATGCATTGCTAGTCATGGCCCCAGGAGGAATCAGGAGAGGAGAGGCATCATCACGAGAAACGGCAATCAGCGAGACCATCAGCTAAAATCACATGCGACATGTCTGATCAGGTTGCCAAAGATTTTGAACCAAGACATCGTCTATCACCGTTGGTTCATGCCGTGTTGACAAAAGAGATGGTTCGGCACCCAAGCCGATACCTCCACTCCAGAGACCCTGGCAAAGCTTCCACGAGGGACAAGGATCCCCCAGTCTAGAAACAAATTTACAGAGAATGCGGCATGGCCGCCGGCCATGCTCGCTCTAGGCTCGAGCTTCAAGAGGCTACCTATGTTGAGGAAACAAACGATGTGACCCAATGGCATCAATGATCTGGTCGCATATCTAAAAGACCTTCGCCAAGCTCATCGTCACATCAGATCAGAATGTTGCATGCCGACAGACTTGACTTTAAATAACTGTATCGATCGTGATGGATGGGACTTGCCGATTGGGCCGGTAATAAAGGCCAGTTAGTTAGCACCAGTCACAACAACCTGGGGGAACGAGTCGAACCCGCCAGTGCAAGATTGAAATGAAAGGGGCAGCCGCCTGAACGGAATGACATGACAAGTCGACAACCCCGCAGAAGCTTACCGTAATCGTCCATCTATCCGACACCACGATGCCATTTTGGGAGGCTACCCAGCCTGGTCACGATCCCATCAGAGATTCAGGTGGGCTGTATAAGTATGACTTGGCCAGCCTCTCGACGCCACGATGCCGTCTGTACGTACTTTGATCTCATTTCTACCCATTGCCATTCCTTCATTCCGTCATTCATTCGTTAGTTCGTTCACTACCAATCCAAAAAAATGAAGTTCATCACAGTCCTTACTTCGATGGCGGCGCTGGTCGCCGCCGCCCCTGCCGTTGAGCCCACCAAGACTCAGTCCATCGACAAGCGCGCGACGAACCTTTGCGGACAGTGGGACAACATCAAGGTCGGATCTTACATCATCTACAACAACCTCTGGGGACGGGACCAGGCCACCAGCGGCTCTCAGTGCACCCTGGTCGATGGCATCACCAACAACCTCGCCAAGTGGTCCTCCACCTGGTCCTGGGCTGGCGGTAACCTCCACGTCAAGTCGTACTCCAACGCCGTTCTCCAGGCCCCTGCTGCGCGCGTCTCTGCTGTCGCCAGCATCCCCTCCAAGTGGCAGTGGAGGTATGTAGCAGACTGTCCCAGGTCCTTCTCTCCTTACTCATACTGACCAGCCAAACAGCTACACCGGCACCGGTGTCGTCGCCAACGTCGCCTACGATCTCTTCACCAGCAGCGACTGCAGCGCCAAGCCCGAGTACGAGGTCATGATCTGGCTCGCGGCCCTCGGCGGAGCCGGCCCCATCAGCGCCACCGGCAAACCCATCGCGACCGTCACCATCAGCGGCGTCTCGTGGCAGTTGTACAAGGGCGCTCACTCCCAGATGACCGTCTTCTCCTTCGTCGCCACCAAGCAGCAGACCAACTACAGCGGCGACGTTGCCGACTTCATCAAGTACCTCGCCGCCTCCCAGGGTCTCCCCCGCTCCCAGTGCCTCTACAGCATCGGCGCCGGAACCGAGCCCTTCGTCGGCACCAACGCCAAGTTCGACACCACCGGCTACAGCGTCTCGCTGTCCACCGCCGCCGCTCCCAAGCCTGCGGCTACCACGGCTCCGTGGAAGCCCGCGACCGGTGCCACCTGCGCCCCTGCCTACGGCCAGTGCGGCGGCCAGGGCTGGACCGGCCCTACCTGCTGCACCACCGGAACCTGCAAGGTTTCCAACCAGTGGTACTCCCAGTGCAGTTAAGCTGTTGAGCTGCTCTGTTTGAGAAGTAATTCGACGAGGGGTCAGCCCCCTAGCGAGGCAGTGGAGCACCACGAGCCGCCTCTTATCTGTAATTATTGTTGAATGATCTTGTATATATTGATAACTTCTTTCCGATGCCTCGAATTCGGGCATCGGCTACCTCCATCGTGGCTTCGAGTTCAATGATTCTGTCTCACTCCGAGACGTGTAAATGTGAATGAAATCATAGCCCAGGTGTCTCGCAGCGAACGCCTGCGTTGTTGCGATGGCAATCTGCTAAGTAACTACCGAACACAATAACCCGCAGATCGAGTGTGCGGAGATTGATGAAGGCTTTTCAAAGATTTGATGGCCTCTTTAAGTGACCTGATTTCACATGCGTTTAATTCTGCAGGAAACGTTATCTCACGCTCAGAATGCGAGTCATCGCGACATGATATAGCAGCTAGAGGTCCTTGAAGAGTCCAATCATGGTCCTGACACGCTACCAGACTAAATAAAGGTGCAGCAGAAGGTGCTGCTCTTTCCTCGAAACCCATTTACCTGGTTCCTGGAAAGTGATGATTGGATGTGGCTCTTATCGTGGATCACAGAAGACTGATGGTGCTAATTCCCATATGATTCGATGTCCATATCTCCGAAGTCGGTGAGTGGAGCTGGAGAAGCGGCTCTACTGGCGGGAGGACCTGTAGAGAAGGATTCAGCTTCTCCTAGCGTGGTCAATCGAACCATGAAATCAAAACATTCATTCCATGGCATGGAATCGAAAGGTTGATTTGACGGTCTGCCATGAAGCTTCTGCTTTACGTGGTCTGACGTCGGCAGTCTGCCACAAGAAATGAGGGTCTGGAGAGTCTACTTAGAAAACGGCTGAATATGGTTGAAGCTTTGTTATGCCAACCCTTCGTCAGAAAATATTCGCGACCTTCTCGGCGACATGACTGTCCTCAAGCTGTATCTTGTGAAAGACCGCAAATTCCTGACGCAGCAGGCTCGGCACCAGAAGGAGATGCTTCTTCGCCGGCTATCGCATGGGGCTTCGGCATGTATGCCGTGAAGGTCGTGGTCTCGAGCACGTCGTCAATTCAAAACTGAAAGCCACCTGACAGCACAAATCTTCCAAAGTGGCTTTTGCCAAGCCATCACTACGCTCCTTGCGTCCTCATGTATAACCCTTCTTGGACCTGAGGCAATACTGACCGGGAATCAGCAACAAGCGACTTTCAGCTTCTTCTCTCGTCGGGTCGCCCAGCCTTTTCGCCGGCAGCGACAGAGCTCCCTTCAGACGCTTCCAAGAGTGAGCTCAGATGCTTGTTTTGCTCCAAAGCTGCGGGGCATTCCAGGTGAAGGTTCGCTAAGAATTAACTCACGTCTAGCCCAAACCTTAGCGAGGGATCCTCTGTAAATCACGGCAGAGAAGCGTCTTTTTCGACGTCGTCCACGGTCCACCCGCATGTGCCCCGCACACTCGCAGAAATACCGACGGCACTTTAAAAGGATAGCTGGTAATGCTGGCTGTAGATGACGAGGTGACCATGAGACTTGTAAGCGCAGGTTATACACGTTAACCACGCCGCGAGATACGGCACAGCTCGTAGAAAACACTTCCTCCTTCCACTACCTCGTTCGCACCATCTGGACTGCGACGCCCATGGCGATACCGGACGCTGAATAGCACCATATTGCCGGTGTCGAAGGTCCCCACAGAAACGGCGCAGCATCAGGCCGCCCACTGACTTTTAAGCCACCGCTACGGCTATTTATCAGATGGGCAATGTAGCGCGGTCTTTTGCCCGCCATATCGTGTCATTTGCCCAGCTCGCGTTAGGCTGCCAAGAACACTCGAAGCGACAACCAGCACGATTGGCGCCTGAAGAGACATGAACGTCTTATGGGAGCCGAGCACCTGGGCGCTGAGCACATCGTGGCTGTCTTGCGCTCGGAAACAGTCGGGGATGGGGGTGGGGGTGTTGAATTATTCTTGATCACAGGAGACGCCTTTTTCCATCATATAAAGGTCGCGGGCGTGAGAACTATCATGCTGCACGTTCTTCTTCGGTATCAAACAGCTCAGTGCAGCTGCTTCTCGTCAAGTTCCAAGTTCAACTACCGGCCATTTCAGAAGGCAAAACCTTCATGATGACTACTAAAGAGGATTCCGCTTTGAAAAGCGACACTCTGAAGACGCCCCAAAAGGTCACAGAGTACTCGGGACAAACACCAGACTCGCAGTCTGAGAATGTCGACGACCGGCCTGTCATCCCAAGAAGCTGGAAGCTCGGCTCAGTCTTGCTGATCTGCCTCATCAGCTTTGGCGCTTCCTGGTCTGCGAGGCTGACCTCATCGTTGAAGAGCACGATCAAGAAGGAACTCGATATCAACAACACCCAATTCGCACTACTGGAGGCCAGTGAAGAATTCCTGGTCACGGCCTTGATGATGGTGTCCGGCGTTGTGACGGACCGGATCGGCGGTGCTGGTATGTCCCAACCTTCACACGACCAACTGCAAAGGACTGGTCACTAATAGCCTAATGTAGGAGCCATGCTCTACGGTAACCTGGTCATGACTGCGGGAGCTCTGGTCATCGCAGGCGCCGCGACGGGCAGGTCCTTCCCCCTCATGATTTTCGGCAAAGTCACCGCGGCGCTGGGAGACATCGCTACGCAGATTGCGTATTACAGAGTTTTCTCCGGATGGTTCGCACCTGGCGGTGGTTTCGGCACGACCATTGGCCTTCAGATTGGCATCGCTCGAATCGGCGGCTTTGTAGGAAGCTCAACAGCCAACGTCATCTCCAAGGTAAATACTCTCCGACCTACCATCTTGCTCCGGAACGGCCTCAATAACCAGTCTACAGAACACCGGGAACTTCGCCTGGGTATTCTGGATCGGGGCATGCGTCTCCGTGTTTACGAACTTGTGCACGCTCGTTTTCTACGTCTTCACCAAGACCGCACACAAGCGCTTCAGGGCACCGCCCGATCCCGCCACGGGCGAAGAACTTGTCGAGAAGAGCAAGAACTTCCAGATCCGCAAGATTCTTGAACTTCCCTGGACATTCTGGTCCATCATGCTCTTCTCCATGGTGCAGACGAGCTGTTCCAACGTCTACTCTCAGAACGCCACCGAGCTGGCAGAGCACCGCTTCGGAGTGGATGCTGTCGCCGCCGGTTGGTACGCATCTCTGTCTCAATATGCTGGTAAGCTTGAAGACTCCTAGTTACACATCTCATCGAGCAAAACTGATGCCGCATCACAGGCTTCTTCTTGAGCCCGATTATTGGCGCAGTCATCGACATCTACGGGCATCGTGTAACACAGATGGCGATCTGCGGCACTGGCATGCTGCTGGCGATGGGACTCATCAACTGGGGCACGACAACCAGCAGTGCCGCAGCCTCGTACGCATTCTACGCCATTTTCAAGACGTTCGGCCCAGTCACCATCATTGAGGGAATCCGAACCAGTATGATATTCCAAGACGTCTTTGGTACAGCATATGCTGCCAAAGTGACAATGAACAATGCGTACATGGATATCATCACCATCTTGAACTCCACCCCAGCTTGAGTCAACTAACCACTTAATCCAGCACAAACATTATTATCCGTATCATCACCGGTGTCATTCAAGATGCCGATGACAACTCCTACCGTCGCGTGACGGTCGTCTACGTATTCCTCGCTGCTGCCTCGACGGTCATTTCGTTGGCGATGCTGCTCGGAACCTTCTGGGCTACTGACCTTCGGATCCTGCAGTTCACGCGAAAGCAGAGAATTCGGTTCGGAGACATCATCAACGAGAGGAAGGAAAGGTTTCAGGGCCCGGCCGGCAAGCTGAGCAGAAACATCAGCAAGACTTGCTTGGCTGCACTAATGGTGTACGTGCTGGGCAGCTGGTCAGCATGGATCTGGGGTGCAATCACGGGCAATAACTGAGGCAACTTGAAGGCTGCCATCCGCCACAGAGGGGCTGATGAAACGAAGCACTTGGTGCAGGCAGCAGCCGCGTCATGTGTGAATCTATTGATTGGAAGTTGCCTCCTCTACACTCGCACACTGTCATTCTTCCCTTGGTGATTACTGGACGTTGATGAACAGTGAGTTCTATTCACATGACTGTAGGCCACTGTGCCCGTGTGCCCCATGTCAGTTGTGAATGCGCGTGATGTATGGAAAAGTCACTAGAGGATGTGAGGGTGTCGCGCTGATACCCTTCGGATCTCGATGCATCAGTCGTTTCCCTGGCGCAATAGGGGCCACTTCAAGGGGTCACTCCTGGAACGAAGCGGGATCAGCTCCTTTCAAACTTCACCATCCAAGCATTGATGATCGGAGGCTCTCTGGTCAAGCTGTCCAACCTCAGCTTGAACAAAAGCCGCAGCAAAACATGCTGATGCCTTGAAATGCCGCCTCATCAGTGGGAGGGCCTCTGTATGGCCAGCCATATGCGATTGCCACCCTGACGCGTGGGCCAAACTGGCCAGTAGTCTGAGGTTGCTGTTAGGGAGGTATAATGCGCGGTGCGCACACCCAGTCTCGTTCATGAAAACCAAGCCTCAAAATTAGGCTCACCATGCCGTTGGATATCATTGGGACGCCACAGAGGCATCCGATGGTCTCGGTGTCAGCTCACAGAATCGTCCAAGCCAACTGCGAGCCAAAACAAGGCCTGTCGTGATTCACCGTTGGACAGCCATCTTTCCACAGCACAAGCTGCGCAACGTGACTCACATTTTCAAATGCGAGTAGAACACGCAGCGAATCAGATTATCAATGCTGTGGACTTTCTTTCTTCAAAATCAAGGTGCCCTGGTGTTCTGTCGTCGTCAAAGTTGCCTGTCGGGGGGGCGAGAACGGTCCAATATCCAATCCCTCGTCTTGATGCCCGACCCATGCGCCCAGTGTTGCCTCATGCGTCATTTCGTCCGGGAGTGCGGCGCAGAGGGAAAAGAACAGTCCCCTGGTCATGGGGTGTCGCTATCAAACTCGCATGAA